CATCCAGTTATTGCCAATATCATATTTCTTCTCCTTTAGAGAACCTGAGTCCTACAAAAACCTGATTACAGAGAACTGCAGAAAACAATTGAATGCTACAATTGATTGCCTCACTTTTTCTCTATTATTTATAATTTAAGGAAAAAATTTCAAACCACTTTGGTTCAAAGAGATTAAAATACTTTAAGAATAATTTACTACTTCTATCCTTAATACCTAATACATATTTAGAGTGATTATTTCAATTCAACTCAAAAATATTATTGAAATGAGGCTTTTTTGGCATGATATCAAAAAAGATTATTTAATAAAATACTCTAGAGCTACGTTTACAAGAAAGTGCTAACAAAAGAAGCCTTAGCTTTTCTTTTATTCCTTTTTACCTTAACTAAAATCTTGACTAAAATCTTGAGTTGAAGCTTATCACAATATTAAGGAATTATTAAATAATAGTGTAGCACAAATCAGACAATAATTGGGAATTCAAACAATTTTTTTTTTCAAAGCCACAGAAACAATGAGATCAAGCAGTATAAAAATCAGGAAATCTTCATTACTCTTTACAAAGAATTAATAAGATTACCAGTAGAGTTGTTCTATGCTTTTATGTAAGGGGTTATGTTCCAAGGAATTCAAAACAAAAAAAGGAAAGGAAAATACCCAACAAATATGAGCTGTGGCAACTTGAGAACTCACATGACCCTGAGGTTTTATTTCTAAGCAGTGCTTTTGTGTGAAGATATTATGATATTAATATCATTCAGTTACCAAAAATAAAAACTTTAAGCCTTCTCAGCAAGTTCAAACAATGGTTGTAAGCCTAAATACTCTTAACTATTTCACTATCGAAGAGTATTTATACCATGTGTTTTATAATTGGCCCACATTAATTTAAACTATAGATACCCACTTTACCTTGAAACTAAATGCAAGTTGCCAGTTGACTTAAACATCTCAAAAAGTTAAAACATAGGACTCCTATAAAAGGAGAAATAGGAAAAAGCCCAGGGAAACCACATTCCTGACTTGGGCACGTAAACTGAAATTCTGAGGATCTAATTTTGATTATAGCAGAGGCACATACTTTGGAAATAAGTGTCAGCACAAGACAGCAGAAGATAAGCGTATCTAGGATAAAGACACTGGGAACATCAATTTCTTAGGAAAAGAATAAAAGGCAAACAAATAAAAAAGAAGAAACAATAAGAAAGTAAGGATATGAAGACAGATTAGAGGTGTCTTACCCAGAAATTACATGAAACCTCTTGAACTAGGGGATGAATAAAGTCAGAGTCTAAGTTTCATTAAGAATTCTTTTCATCCGATAGCAATGAAAGCTTAGAAATGTGAAAATCCTAGGACTTAAGAGAAAAAAAATGATCTAATGAATGACTAATGGATGGACTATTGCTTCAGGCCAAGATTGAGTGACTAGGACTGGATTTACCTTTACACCTGAAACAACAAAAGATTGAACAAAATATATGAAACAAGACAAAAGGCAGTATGTAATAAAATACAGGATCTCTGAAAGAGGGAATACAAATGAAATGAGCCCTATTACTGCCTTATTACTGCCCTGAAGGAATTTCCAGGCAGTGATGTAAAAAAGAAAAACCCAGGCAGAGTGCTAAACTCCATGAGTTGAAAGATTAAACTGAGAATACAGAGAGACCTAGATAGCAGCAGTTAAAAGAATAAAGTACCAGAGGGAATAGAGCTGCACAAAGCGCGAAGTCTTAACATCCACAGAGGGTATGCCTTCAGTATTCGGCAGAGCACCAATTCATAAATGCACATAAAGAAACGTCAAGAACCACCTGAAGGCATTAAAAGGAATAGCACCAGTTGCTCACACAGAGCTAGAAATACTAGTGTTTGTTTCTACCAGTAAGGGTTGAATATCTCCTAAGTCTCAAGTCACAAGGCAGGCATTGAGAAGAGTTTTGCCTCAGCAGTTAAAATAATTTGACAAAACACTGCTCTGATCCCAACCAACAAACTTAAAAGGAATCCTTGAAAAGATTACATTGTTTCCAAGTAATTAACTGCATCCTGGAACATAGCTTAACAATATTTTTTTTAAAAAAAGGAAAAACTCAAAATTTCTAGAAGGCAATCAAAAATTACTACCCATGCAAAGAAGTAGGAAAATATACTCTCAAAGAGAAAGAAAATAATCAGTCTGAACAGAGCCAGATCTCAACTAAATATTAGAATTAGCAGGCAACAATATTAAAACAGTTATTACAACTATAGTCCAAATATTCAGAAGTTCAGTTTGCATTTGCAAAACTTATAGAACTTTATGATACAAACGATAAAACAAACATATGCAAATAATATATTGAGACAGAGGATCCCAGGAAAGAATTAACACTGTTACAAGAGAATCTAACTATATTACAAGTATATGAAAAAAACCTCATTTAAGAGGTTGAGAGTAAAGTGCTAAATGAAATAACTCTGGAAATGAACAGAGTCTATGAGACATAAGGCAAAAGGAACTGAACATAAGCACTGTACTCTAGTCAACAAAATTGTTTTCTACTGGGGTAGAGGATAACAATTCTAATAGTACCAGATAAATGTACTGGAATTGAACAATTAAACAAATGGATGACGGATAATGCAAATGAGGCTTCTCATTATTAGAGTGGAAATGTATAAATCAACAAGGGAAGGAGGCTGGAATGATCCCTTGGGTAATGGATTATAGCTGAAGATAGAAAAACTCATATTTAACTTAATATGCTACTGATGCTTACACATGGAAATGTTTATAAATATGTACATATTATGGGTTAATACACACACACAAACACACACACACACACACACACACACACACACACACACGTATTTTCTTTCTCAACTGAGAGGACCTGGAAGCAATGACACTCCAGCAACAATGAGAACACCTAACTAGCACACAGGAGCACATAAAAGCCTAGCACTCACCTCTTGCTTTTTGATACCATTGGAGAAATGGCTGATTCTAGGACTTGGATGAGATATAAACAAGATAAGTCTGGAACACCCTTTAGTTCAAGAAAATAAGGAATTACTCAAAAAAGCAAAAATATATTGATAAATTAATGTTTATGTGGTTTTCCTGGGTACAAGAGATTTTTTTAAGGTAAAAACTAAGAAAAATTACTATGTAAAAACTAAGAGACTCAGAAGAAAATATGCAGTTTGATTAAAAACAATGTATTAGTCCGTTAATTAAAACAAATATACCATACTGAGAAGGGAGACTTTTCTTGATCCCTTTGTGGGACCTGTAACAGAGATGTGGCTCATTTACTCAGCCCCTGGCTCATTTGCTCAAACTGCATGCAGGAGGGTGAGCACACAGGTAAGCGGGTACAGGAGCCAGGTCAAGTACCTTTCGTCACCAGCAGGAACAAACGCCATACTAGCCCACAGCAGCATCTAGGGGTTGCCTGCAACTCCTGGTGGGCAACCAGAGGGCGTGTGTTACAACAAATTTTAGCTTTGCTGTCTGTGGATGGCTTAAATGTTAAACAGCTCAGTGAAGAGTCAGTATGACAGCCTTTTGGGGTTCCCGCACACGGTGCGTTCCAAATTCTGGCATCCAGGAAGAATCAGGTTACATGAACAGATTGAAGGGTTGTGTATGCAGAGGATATTTACTGAGCAATGGAAGTGGCTCTCAGCAGGATGGAGAGCTAGAAATGGGATGGAGTGGGAAGATAATCTTGTCCTGGAGTTCAGCCATTCCCAATTGAACTCCTCTCAACATTCAGATGCTTCTTCTCTTCTCTACCACACTACTCTGCTCCTCTGTCAGTGGAACCCGGGGGTTTTATGGGTACAGAGTGGGGGGCATGGCAGACCAGGGTGGTTTTTGAAAAGGAAACATTCGGGCAGGAAAACAGGAATGCATATTCTCATTTACGGCCTCAGGTCCAGGCTTGTGGGTGAAGCCCTCATCAGGGACTCTGCCCTCTTCTACCCAGTATTTTCGGGACTCCTGTCTGTATCAATACTTATGTAAGATGCTAATAATAGGGGAAACTGCGTGTAAGTAGTATGGCAATTCTCTGTACTATCTTCTCAATTTTTCTATATACCTAAAACTGTTTTAAAAATTAACATAAATATTTTAAAATATAATTGATTCAATAAACAAAAATAAGCACAAGCAATTATATCACAAGCAATATATAGCATGTGATGTACAAATATGCAAAAAGTAAAATGTATGAGTACAGAATATTTCAGTATAATACATCTCAGAACTGACTGAGAGGAGAGAAATGAAGCAAAAAATTACAAGATTCTTACAGTATATGTGAAGAAGTACAAAACCACTTGAAGGTAGGTTCTGATAAGTTAAAACACATAAGCACTAAAATATTCACTACAATAGCAAAGTAGTTATAGCTAAGAATCACAGAAAAGATATAAAATGCAATCATACAAATCAGTTTTAAAAATGAAGTGAAAATGGAACAAAGAAGAAGTAAACAGAAAATTAAAATAGTGAAATAACAGATTTAAATCTAACAATATCAGTAATAACGTTAAATGTAAATGGTCTGAATTCTGTAATATTTTCAGGAAAAGTCATTTGAGAGAATGCAATATCCATTTTTGTTTTTAAAAACTCTCTGCAAACTAGGAATAAAAAGAAACTCTCTCAACCTGATAAAGATTTTCTGGAAAAAAAAAAAAAAAAAAAAAAACCTAAACTAACATCACACTTAATGACAAAAGACTGAATGTTTTCCACCTAAGATCAGAAACAAAACAAGGATGTTTGCCCTTTACTACATATACTTATGAATATACTGGAGGTTCTAAATAGTGGAAGAAGGATTAAAAAAATAGCAACATGGCCGGGCGCGGTGGCTCAAGCCTGTAATCCCAGCACTGTGGGAGGCCCAGGTGGGTGGATCACGAGGTCAAGAGATCGAGACCATCCTGGTCAACATAGTGAAACCCCGTCTCTACTAAAAATACAAAAAATCAGCCGGGCATGGTGGCGCGTGCCTGTAATCCCAGCTACTCAGGAGGCTGAGGCAGGAGAATTGCCTGAACCCGGGAGGCGGAGGTTGCGGTGAGCCGAGATTGCGCAATTGCACTGCAGCCTGGGGAAAAAAAGCAAAACCCCCTCCCAAAAAAAAAAAAAAAAAAAAAAAAAAAAAATAGCAACATGCGTTTTTGCAGATGACAATTAGAAATTACCATTTACAACGCATCAAAAACATAAAATAGGAGGAAATCTGACAAAAATGGTCAAGAACCACACACTTGAAAACTACAAACTATTGCTAAGAGAAATTAAAGACTTAGATTACTAGAGAGGTAGGCTATGTAAATAGATTGGCCAAAGATTTAAACAAACATTTCACCAAATAAATATATGAATGGTAAATAAGCATGTAAATAGAGCTCAACATTATAAGTTATTAGGGAAATAAATATTAAAATCACAATCTGATATTGCTACTCATTTATTAGAAAAGCTAAAGAAGGGCCGGGCCTCATCAAGCCTGTAATCCCAGCACTTTGGGAGGCTGAAGCAAGTGGATCACCTGAGGTCGGGAGTTTTAGGCCAGCCTGGCCAACATGAAGAAACCCTGTCTCTATTAAAAATACCAAAATTAGCCAGGTGTGGCATTGGGTGCCTGTAATTTCAGCTACTCAGGAGGGTGAGGCAGAAGAATTGGTTGAACCCAGAAGGAGGAGTTTGCAGTAATCTGAGACCACACTGTTGCACTCCTGCCTGGGAGACAGAGTGAAACTCCTTCTCAATAAAAAAAAAAAAAAAAAAAAAAGAAAAGTTAAAGAAAATTGAAAGTAACGAAGTGTTGGTGAGGATATAAAGGAAGTGAAACTTTCAAACACTGCTGGTGGAAATGCAAAATAGTAAAAGAATATTTGGAAAACATTTTGCAAATGTATTAAAAAGTTAAAAATATATTCACCATACGATCTATCCATTCCGCATCTAGGTGTATACCCAAGAGAAATGAAGATGTATGTCCATACTATGACTTTTATAAGACTATTTACAACAGGTTTATTTGTAAGAGTTAAGGACTAAAAGAAACTCAAATGTCTGTGAACAAATAGCAAATCTAATATATGCATGAAATGGAATTCTATTTGATAATAAAATGGAAGAAATTCTTGAAACACACTACAATATGGATGACTCTTAATTATGCTTCATGAAAAAAGCAAAGAAAGGTAGATACTGTATGATTTCATTTATCTGAGATTCTAGAAAATGCAAACTAATCTATGGTGATAGAAGGAAGATGCGTGATTGCCTGGGGATGGAAGAAGGAGGTTGGGTGGGTCAGGTAGAAGGAATTCCCAAGGGTCATGAAGAAACCTGGAGAAGAATATAGACGTATACAGTGTCTTAACTGTGGTTATGGTTTCATGGATGCATAAATATGTTGAACCATCAAATTATACATGATTAATATGTGTAGTTTTTGTATGTCAATCATCTTTCACTAAAGCTATTAAAAATATGACTAGTTACAAGGAAAAACTAAAAAAGTAATCCAAAGAAATTTAAGTTAAAGCTGCAAAAATTTCAGAGGCTGAAGCCTCAAAGTCTGGAAATCAATGGTGTGTCTGTTCATTTAAGAGACAAAGAGCAAAAGGTAGAGGCAATAGAATCTTCTCAATTCGAGATAAACTAGTTAAGTAACGTGAAACTCAGTTTGTGTCATTCGCTTTTAATTAAGTATAATTTGTTCCATGAATTTCCTGTCTACTAAAGAAAATATATCCATACACTTCAATGAAGCCCGTGTTTACTGTGCAGCAGAAGTACAGAAAGGTGAATGCCCTGCAGAAGGAAGAGCCACATGAACCTAGAGAAATAATATCTAGACAGGATTATCTCCCCACTCTCCACTCACTTAATTCCCACTTCTTGTTAGATTCCTGACACCAAGACAGATGTGACAAGAATACAGATGAAGTGTTCTGGGTTTTTCTTGAATAATATCCTATATCATGAGACATCAAACAGCTAGGAACTAGATGCCCCTAAAACAAAACCAGCCATGCTGTGTCTCCAGGAATTTAAAATAACCGTGAGTAATATGTCAACTGCTTTAATGTAAAAAGCAGACAACACAAACTAGCTGCAAAACACCAAATATTTAGAAAGTAATCTGTACATTTCTAAAGAACACATGGGTCAAAGATGACATTTCGAGAATATTTTAAACTACTTTGACATAAATAAAAGTGAATATACAACTTATGGAACTGTATGGAGTGCCTGGAGGGAAATTTCTAACTTTAAATGCATATATTACAAAAGAAGAAAGATCTACAATAAATCAACTAAGCTGCTGTCTTGAGACACTAAAGAAAGAAGAGCCATTTAAGCCCAACACAAGCAGAAGTGAGAAGATAACAAGTAGAAATTAATGAACTTGAAAAGAGTAAAACAATAGAGAAAAATCAATGAAACTGAAAGCTGATTCTTTGAAAAAAAAAAGTCAATTAAATTAACAAACTTTAGCCAGTCTGATTAAGAATAAAAGAAGGAAAATACACAAATTACAAATATTAGAAATTAAAGAGGGATCATCACTACTGATCCCATGGACATTAAAAGAATACTAGATTCTGTGAACAATTCCATGGCCATCAACTTGATAACTTAGATAAAATGGACCAATTCCATGAAAGACACAAATTACCAAAATTCACACAAAGAGATACAGGCAATCTGAATAGCACTATATTTATTAGAGAAATGGAATCCATAATTAAAAATGTTCCAAAAGCAAAATTGAGAGGGAAGTGTAGCACAGAATGATAATATCTTTAAAAGCCAAATATTATGGTCTATGCTGTCAATTTATATTGACCATTTTCCTATTAGTTACTTCAGTGACAAGCAAGCAGAACACCCTGCTTAAACACCAGCAGAAAAGGCCACTTACCACTTCATGAACTAGTCTTCCTATGCAGTGCTTCTAGGAGTAGAGCTAGGAAAATCTTTCCAAAATGGTCAGCTACGATGCTAAAGCAGATCCTTATTTTTTGGCTCTGAGTATTTAAATTTTTTTGAGAGGAAAGTTAAGTGAATGTTAAGATTACTCTTAATGTGTAAAGCATATGGGTGAATTCTAGAAAAAAATCTCATTTCCTAGAAATTTCGTCATGTAAGTATCTCATCCATGTGAAAAGACCTGTAACAAAAAAAAAAAACGCTAGGCCAAAGAACGGCAGCAACTTTCTTCATTAACCTATGTAATCTTAAACAAATTTAGATCCATGCAAATATGCATTCCAAAAAGTTGCTAATAACTTGCATATAAAAAACAGGAATATAATGGAACATTCTAGCATAGTCAAAGGATATTTCAAGTTTACCCTTTATAAAGAAATTAAAGGCACAAATGTAGTATTGGAGCTTGCATAAGGAGAGAGAAAAACAGAAAAAGGTAAATATATAAAAATTATAAATATATATTTAGATAAAGGAAAAAATACAAAAATAAGGATAAAAGGACAAATGAAAGATAAAGTAAAATGATAAAAATATAAAAATAACATATATATATATAAATTATACAGCTATGCATCTCTAACTCCAGTCCTCTCTCATTCAAATGACGCAGAAAAACAAGTTCAATACTTTTAATTCAAACAAACAAAAAAAAATTAAACACTTTGAGTTAGATATACACTGGCTGAGCACAGTGGCTCAAGCTTGTAATGCCAGCAATTCTGGAGACTGAGGATGGCAAATCACTTGAGGTCAAGAGTTTGAGACCACCCTGGGCAACATGGCAAAACCCTGTCTCTACTACAAATACAAAAATTAACTGTACGTGGTGGCACACGCTATAATCCCAGTTACTGGGGAGGCTGAGGCATGAGAATCACTTAAATCTGGAGGGTGGAGATTGCAGTGAGCCAATTGCACTCCAGCCTGGGTGAGAGAGAGAGAGAATCTGTCTCAAAAAAATAATAATAATAATAATAAAAAAGAACATTCAGACATAAATCAGATTGTTAGAGGTGAGTTTAAAGACATTTTATTTTTCACTATCCCTAATGTAAATTTAGGATTGTTTTCCAAATTTATAATGTATTATGTCTTCCATAAAATAGAAATGAAATAAATAACTAGATTGAGGAATAATATCAAAGTAGCACATCTTCCATAAAAAAATTAATACAAATATTCACGTTTATTTAATCTAAAATTACTATTTATAACTGACATAGTGTGTACATTAATTCAAGGCAAAATTCACAGTTTTATTTTTAAGTCTTCCTATCCAAAGCATAGTTTTGTATTTATGTCTAATTTATTGCTTCCATAGATTGACTTTTTGGCTGAGGCTTTAAGTTCTTTTCTTTTTGGTAAGTATCTCATACATACACAAAAGTGTGCACTTTGCAAGAGTAAAGCCCAATGAATTTTCACAAGCTGCATACATCCATGTAAACAGCACCCAGAAAATTGCTCAAGTGTCAGAAGACTCTGCCAGACCCCTTGAGGCGGCTCCTTTCCATCAAGGGTAACCATCCCTGTCTTCTAACAGTATGGCAGTAGACTGCCTATTTCTGAACTTTGTAGAAACTGAATCATATACTATTAATATATTATTTTTAATTTGGTTTTGCTCAACATTATGTTTGTGAGATCCACCCCTGTAGTTATAGATCATTTATTCTTCCTGCTGAACAGTGTCCCCAATGTGTTAATTTAGCACAATTGATTAATCCAGTCTACTGCTGTACACACCTATAGACTTCCTGTTATTGACTATTAAAGTCAGTGCTGTTTGAACTTTCTTGTACAAGTACCTTAGTAAACATTGTACACATTTCTTTGGCAAACACGCCAATGTTCAGCTTGAGTAACCAGTTTAAAATCCCTGTCAGTATTACATTAGCATTCCATCTACTCAAAGCACAAGGTTTTTTATTTTTGTCTTTTTTTTTCTTTAAGGGAGTGGACATTTTTTTCAAGGAATTCTGGCAGATATATCCTGAGACTATTTCATATACATTTTGCATTTAAAAAATAAATTTTGCTACTCATTTTGAAAGCTTTGGTTGCTGTTGCAAATAGGGTCATCTCAGCTTTGCATTTTTCCAAAGTCGCTGTACCAATATAGTCGCCCCACGAATATCAGCATGTGAGTTTTTCCAAATACAATTTTCTCCTTGTTGTCTTTCTCTCTCCACCCCATCTCTCTCTCTCACTTCCTTCCTTTTCTCGATTTCACTGAATCTGGTGATTGTATTGAGTAGACATTTTTGACGGCTATATTAAAGGATAATTGAAATACAACTATCTGCATAAATTCAAAGCATAAAATTCATGAGATTTCAAATGTGCATGCATATATTTGAACATCACCACAATAGAGATAAAGAATATTTCCATCACACTCTTCCAAGTTTCCTCATGCCTCTTTGTGAGCCATAGTTTCCTCCATATCATCCTCGAGCAGCACTATATGTCTTCTTAGACATTATTGTTCAGTTTGCATTGTCTAGAATTTTATATAAATAAATTCATGTACTATGTACACTTTGTTGTGGATTTTTTCACTCAGTATAATTATTTTAAAATTGATCAATGACACTGTACATATCAATAATCCATTACTTTTTAATGATGAATAGTATTCCATTGAACAAATATATCACAGTATGTTTATCAATTCATTTATTGATGGACTTTGGGTTTTTTTAAGTTTTGGGCTGCTAAAAATAAAGAGGCTGTCAATATTTGCGTATGAGTCTTTGCAT